TAAATTTATTTCAAAATAGTATTTAAATCTTTAAATTAAAAACAAAATAAATAAACCCTCTAACTTCATTAATGATGTAAATAAGTTTTTTGCACAAATAGACCAAATGGTATTTCGTGTTTAATATCATTTTGGAAGTATGAACACCTATAAATGAGAAGGGCTTATTTGCAACATTAGTAAAATTTGAGGATTTATCTATTTTATTTTTAGTTTAAAAACTTAAATGTTATTTTAAGATAATTTTGAGGGTTTAAGAAGGGTTTTTACCTTAATCTTTGAATCAGAAATTGGGTAATTGTAAAAGTGTGTCAGGGGTTTTTACCAAAAAAAAAAAAGTGTGTCCGGGAATGGTAAGTGTTGGTCAAATTTCAAAGAAGTGGGAACTGAGAGCATTACAAATCTAGTACGTTTTAGTAGGAGCTTAACTATAAATAGTAGCGGGTGTCAGTCAGTCTTATGTCATCTCAGTTTTGTTTCTTTGGAAAGCTTTTTCTGTCTTTGAATAAATGCTTGGTGCTGTTTGTTCTTCAACTTCTCCATCCGCAACCCTTCCATATTGCCGGATTGCCCTATCAGCTCTCTCCTGCTTCTGTAATTCTTTTGGATCACCGCCGCTTTCACCACCGAAATCACCAAGGGCAAGGCTAGGCCCCGGATATGGCCAAGAGTATGGAACTCTGCGTCAAGGCTCAGGTAGACTCTCTCTTCCACTTTTTCTTTTCTTTTGGGTATTTTTTCCATTTAAGTGTATATACATTATATTGCTATGCTTCTGCTTTTTATGAATGATGGTATTAAAGTTTTTGGGGTTGCATTGTTTGAAAATGTACTACCCATCATCTGATTCTTTGTTTTCTAGTCATGTTTTATGGATATAAGCTTACCTGTCTGTGATTTTGAATGAATCAAAACATTAAGATGCAGAGATTTGGTGGCTCTTTTTTTGCAAAATGGGTTTGATTCTGCTGCTATCAGAATTACAGCCTGAGGGACCAGAATTTTTTGGAAATCTGTTCACTCTATTTCTGAGTATTTTTTGAGAGAGCTGAATCTGTTCAGGAGTTTGTGGGTAATGAGAAAAATTATTCTGTACTGTGTTTTGGATTATGGAATAAACTTTTGGGGTTTAATCCCACGAAA